TTCAAAAGATTATTTTTTTCTACTTCGCATTATTAAGATTGTAAAATTAGAACTGAAAAAAACAATTTTGAACACGATAAAAAACTTTTTTTTTTTTTACGGTCACAATATGATCTTCCAACATCCATTTCCCGCATCATGCAACATACATGTACGCATATAGGTGAAGGACAAATATTACTCACTTTCTGTGACTGCTGTTACACAGGTGTTGATATTACACCGACCACACCTCTCTTAGTGCAATGAAGAAGTTGGAATCTCCGGCATTGAGTACATTCTCCCAACACAAAATGAGAACAGATACTACACTTTGATCCGAGTCAAAAGCCGAGGACTTGAGCTGAAATACCAACCTAGAACAAATAGGATTTCATATTGCAAACATTTAACATTGCTTTAGGCATTGTTCGGATTTGTGTAATTAAGTGCAAGCTAAAATGTAACAGTTTTTTTAAAATACTAGACTCAGATATTAAAAAAAAAAAAACACCTTAAACATTAAAAAAAAGATAAGAACAAAATATCTCTATTAAATTTGCAATCACTTCTATTTATTTCCTTGGTGGTATTACTAGATTTACATAAATTAAAAAGTAAAATTCTAGAATATATAATGTTGATACCCCCTGAAGAGTGGATGGACAGGTCCGTCTACGAAACTCTGGAGTCGGGATGCTGAAGGTAACATCAATCAGCTAAGTGACAAACTTTTACTTATATTAATTCTTTAGTTATATTAATGCTCTATCTTTGATATCGAGCACTTTACTGCAAAGACTGCTTGCCTTAAATGTCTTTTCTCTCAATATCCCATTGACTGTTTTGGCTTTATACTATCTTTGATATCACTATTGACTTAGCTCCTGAAAAATTATTCACAGTTGAGCACTTTTGCAGATTTTTCTTTTTGTTTGATCACTTTTTCACAGAAATCAATTCTGCTATTACATTTTCTAAAAAAAAAACCATAAAAATAAACCAAAATACTATCTACACTATTTAACTACTCCTTAAAAATATACCAACATCAAACCTCCATAATTACAAAATCAAACTCACAGAAAAAATAGATCACTTTACAAAACGTATAAGATGGAAGGTATTCTATTTCCTCAACAAAAACAATGACAATGGTGACAACCCCAACAAGACCGAAAATATTAAGAAATTTGAATTATATCAATAAAATGCCCACCACAACAAAACGACTTCATTGCTTTTGAAAATGACATAGCAAATATAATGAATAATTTGGAAATAAGAAAATTTAACAACAATTTCCCAAAAATACTTGAAAAAGATCCAAAAATAATAAACAGCCCAAAGAAATTATTCATAAAAGCAGATAAATCCAGGGTAAACTATAAAATGGAAAACAAGACTTACAATAAAATAGTCGAAAAAAAGTCACTAAATTTTACAAAACCACTAATAATGAAACAGAAAATGAAATGAACAAAGAGGCTAAAAACATAGTCACTAAACTAAAATTAGACAACAGAATGAAATAATTAACAAAAGTAGATCAATTTCTTAAATTAAAAGACCATATGGACAACTTCACGACCAAACCAACATGCAAAATACTAAACCACCCAAAAAGCAACACTGGGAAAATAAGCAAAGAAATATTAGAAAAAATATGCTTAAAACAATTCAAACAAAAACAACAGAAAAAGAAATATAATCTGTTTCACCTGGGAAAATAATCTTCAATATTAACAAGCACTTATCTAAAAGCAGCAAATTATAAAAAAAATATCAACAAGAATACAATCAGTTAGTTACAGTTGCATAGATAACATGGAAAAATAATAAGTAAACACAATAAAAAATATTATCTACAAAACCAATGACCATTACAATAACATGCAACAAAATCACACCATTAAATGTAACTGCAGAAACAAAGAAATTTGCCCACTTAACTATAAATGTTTAGCTAATAACTTAATATACAAAGCTATCATAACTAATAACACTAACAGAGACGAGAAAATACATCGGCGCCATGGAAAAATAACTTTTAAATAATGATATTATAAATAAAGAATGTCATAAAAAAATACACAAACAATACAACCCTATCAAAATACATATGGAGCCCAAAAGAAAACAATATTCAAACCGAAATCAAATGAGAAATTATAAAAAGAGCATCCCCATACAGTATCAACCGTAAAAATTGTGAATTATGCTTAGAGGATAAATTAGCAATAATTAGATTTAAAAGCCAAAATAAACTCTTAAACATAAAGACTGAAATAATGGGCAAATGTACAAATAAATATAAATAAAATAAATATAACATAAACTTTAAAGAACTAAATAAAGGAAACTAATATAATATAAACTTAATTTATTAATAAATAAATAAACGACCAATTATTAATAAACATACACACCATACGCGTATATATGTACACACACACACACACACACACACACACATATATATATATATATATATATATATATATATATGTATATTTACAAACATCAAAAAAACGAACACATCTAACTCCCATAGTTAATACCTCAATATATAACACCAAGGCAAAAACAAATAAACTACTAAACATTAAATAAATTATAAACGATAACATATAAGCATACACTTATTGCGTGACTGTGTGGGAGTATATATTCACTCTCTCTCTATATATATATATATATATATATATATATATATATATATATATATTAACCCAACCAATCAAGCAACCATAATTAATACTCGAAAAATAGAAAAAAAATAACTTCACGATTTAAGCACTGGTTTATGAACAACAAAGCACAGGCATAAGTGTACATGTACCGATGTACGCACGTTTATATGCATATATGTGCGCGAAAGTATACCTATATTCGTGTGTGCATATATGTACACGTACGCGTATACATAAGCGTATAGATACTGACATATGCACATAAATTCAAACAATAATAAATTAAATTATAAATCTACTTTCCCAGAAATAATGATTATGATATCACCAAACCAAATTATATATATATATATATATATATATGTGTGTGTGTGTGTGTGTGTGTGTGAGAGTGTGTGCGTTCGTATGTATTTACCATTTAAACATTAATATTTTATTATATATATATATATATATATATATATATATATATATATATATATGCATAAAATATTTAACATTTAAGCATTACTCTCAATTATCTATGTAAAAAATAAAATACAACTTCCCCAGCAAATACAGACTATGGCGACCAAAAATTAATAATAAATCCAACATTTTTAGCGTTTCAAACAAAGTAACCACTAAAATAGCGTTTGAAGTAATACATTTTAAATAAAATTATTTTGTTTTATTTTTTTTTTTGCTGCGATACTTTAAGGTATGCTGTTTCAGGTCAGGATTAACGTCTTCAAGTGTTTTTTGCTCTGTATAGGTAATCATCGAGAACTTTACTGAGTAGGCATTCTTCAAGATTTCTTGTTTAAGATTATTCAAGTCTTTTGTCAAGTTGTCCGTTAATTCTGCCAGAATATATATATATATATATATATATATATATATATATATATATATATATATATATATATATATAGTCATCCACAGACAGACTGATTCGCTGCATCACAGCACCTCAAGAAAAAGAAAGGAAAGGAATTTTA